TTTCTAAATTGAGGGAATTTCTTAAGGTCCACTTTTGAGATCCCCTCAGCTGCTGAATTTTTACTGTTGTTACCGTTTAGAGATGCCAATTCTATTTTTTTTTCATTTCCAATGGGTATTCCATTTCTTTTGCTCTCATTTCCAGTTGTCTCTTTTTTGCTTCAGCTCTTTCTTTTATCTCTAACTGTCTGGCTTCTGCCTCAGCCCTAGTCTTTATTTCTAACTCTATGGCTTCAGTCTCAGCCCTAGTCCTTATTTCTAACTGTCTGGCTTCAGCCTCAGCTTTGAGCTGTAATACTTTTAATTTAAATTCCTGCTGTAACCTCCATCTTTCAAATTCTTGTGAGGTTAATCCAGTTTCTCCCCTTAAGGTTTCATCATCCTGAGCCTCCCCTTGCTCTATCATTTCCAAGGGGGAGGTATATGGCAGAATGCCTGCGTCACTCCTGTCCATCATATGGAGTTCAAGTGCAGGAGCCTATGATAGGACAGGAGGGGTGGAGTTAGAGTGATAGTTGGGGAGTTAGAGGACAGTTAGAGAGTTAGCGAATGGAAGAGAGACTTTGAATTGAGAGAGTTAAGACAGAAATTGGAAAGTTGGAGTGTTATAGAGAATAGTAAAGAGTTAAAAGGAATAGAGAATAGATAGATAGTCAAAGAATATTGTTAAAGTGGTTATTGGGAATAAAAGCACATACAAGCTAACGTGTAATCAAATCAATCCAATTTTATGAATGATCCTCAACAACTGTGATTTACTTCTGTGATTTACATACCAACTAAATGATCATTAAAACCTGTTGCATTGGCAGCACAGTTGTGAGATATACAGTGGTGCCTCACTTAGCGACGTTAATCCGTTCCGGAAAAAACATCGCTAAGTGATTTAATCGTTAAGCGATTTTTGAAAGCCCATAGAAATGTATTAAAACACATTTAATGCGTTCCTATGGGCTTCAAAACTAACCTTAAGCGAAGATCCTCCATGGGACGGCCATTTTCGGTGCCTCTTAAGGGAGGCAAAACAGCGGGTGACCATTTTGAAACCGCCTATCAGCTGTTCAAGAAAAGTTCCCGGACCCTTTTTAAACTTTGCATTGCAAAAGCGAGAAGGAGCAATGTTCTCATCTGCTCTCCTTGTCGAGGGAGCTATTTCTTCTTCTCTCTTTTTTTCTCTCCTGCCTGCCTGAGCCCACCACTGCTTTCCTCCATCGAGTGTGTGGTGTGTGCGTTTGCGCGCACGCGTGTGTGTGTGAGTGCACCTTCCCCTTCCCCTCGCCCCAACGGAGCCCAAGGCCAGATGGCCGGGATTGGCCGCCAAGGGCTCTGAGCTCCGCCCGCTTGAACCTGGCTTGGAAGCAAGTGAGAAGGAAGGGAAGGGGAAAAAGAAGGAAGGCAGGGGAGGTGAGGAGAGCGGGGCCACGCTCCCTGCGCTGCCTAGTCTGGAGTGGGAGCCTGGTAGCGGCAGAGCAGCAGCAGCAGGAACAGGAGCAGCCACGACCAGAGCCTGCTGGTCTGAGGAGTCAGCCTCGGAGCCCTCTCTGCTCCGTGGGTGCACGTTCCCCTTCCCCTTGCTCCAACGGAGCCCAAGGCTGGACGGC